GCGTTCCAGAACTGCTGGGACGACCGATGCTCGACGCTCTCTTCTAAGCTACCAACGTGGAGTACGGCAGTTTTTACACTGTTCAACAAATGTTACGCAGTTATATCGCTTGGCGAAATGCATTTCTTTGCGCATCGGAAGCTTCTCGAATGTTATGCATTTAATCAGATTGCCTTGCGTGATGCGAATAGTCGTGTGTACAGTCTAGAGCTTTCGCGAGCCCCAGTGATTACGTCGGCACGTACAGTGACGCCTGCGCAAGAAACCGACGCTCTTCGTGTGTTCATCAGACTGCATCATGCATGGTAGTTCGTACTTGTGTGCCCTGATATCGATGGAACCGAAATGCATTTATGAGAGTTGGCTTCTCCGCATCAAGTGTGTCAGTGCGGAGAAACCCGGTTCTGCGAGGTGTTCTTCTTACAGGTTATGGCATTGTTGAAACCGAAGTACAGGTGCGCCGAATGTTCAGTAGCAATTACGGCCGAATTATTATTATTATTATTATTATTATTATTATTATTATTATTATTATTATTATTATTATTATTATTATTATTATTATTATTATTATTATTATTATTATTATTGCTACTACTTGTTGTAAGAACTAACAAGAGCCACCCCTGCACTATAGGGTTAGTTAGAGACAACGTAAGCATAAGTGAGCATCGATAGCTGTTCAGTAACGACTTCAAAAATTGCTGGTAACATGGGCGCGGCGGAGATGTGATAATGCCGATGATGGTGTATATTGGGCTGACATGTCAGTTTAGCGGGATTCTTGGACTAAGTTTTCCGCTGATCACTCGGGCAGACTTTCTTTTGCGAATGCGAACGATTAGGGCGGAAGCTTTATAATCCGCTTCATACATGAGGTGCAACACTGCAGAGGCGAGAGGGTTTGAACACTGAATGCGTTCGCACCAAGAAATAGTTGAGATTTTCTTTAATGACCCATGATGGGATTCATTTTTCTTTTTTCTTTTGTATCCTGTATAATGCATGCATATGTTTCCTCTCTTAGAAACAAGCCTTTGTTTGCGGCTATCAATAAGTTGTTCTGTATATTCTTTTGTTGTTTTTAGGTTTCTAATAATAAATCAGTAGGTTTCTAGTATTACATAGCTATACATGCTTGTACTCCGTGCTCGCACGAGCATGGACAACTACGATAAGCCAAGTGAACGACGCACGTGCAATTGCACATTTTTCTGACCGAATTTCTTGCCTAGCTTCAAGAGCGTCGCGTCTGCTGTGCTGTAATGGTCAAGTAATGCTCATCGTTTTCTTTTCCGTGGCTTATATAAGAGTGCGCTAAGTGACACGGTTAACTGGAGTCCCTTGATTATAGAAATTTTGACGCTCGCAATGATGTAATAAACATCGCGATCGCATCCTTTATTTCTTCTGTAACATTACAGAAAGTTGGCAAGAGCTGAAGGCCTGGCAGAGGCTTCTGCTCCATTCACAGATTTGGCTGCAGCGAACAGATTATTTGTACGATAAAAGGATCTAGTACATTACCATCTTACGATATAACACAATAAAACAGCTTATCACATGAAGCAATAACATATGTTGTCTTCGCGGCGTCCTTGAAGCGAACGAGCCTTGTGAAAAAAAGATTAATTTACTCACACTCACAATAAACTCTGAAAGCCACACAGGCTACAAAACGCCACACAGGTGAGACAGCACGAGCGTCTCTCAGTCCACGTTGTCGTCTTCATTCACTAGCTGCAAAGGCACGTGCATTTCTAACACATGTATGCGCAAGTCGGAGACATACTCCGATTCAAGTTATACGTCACTAATATCAGTGGCACTCCTCTAACAGCACACTTGGAGAAGACTAGTGGAATTGAAAGGAAGTCGGCTATATTCAATTTTCTTTTGAATCAACAATGATTTAAAGTAACTCTTAGTAAGCGGATTTAAATCGGTTAGTTATGGACGATTCAGCAATGCCGAGATTTAACAACTAATGTGTTGTCTGCTATAATGGGTTCTTGTCCGAGTGGTTCGAAGAACTGTTTTACGAAGCTGATAGCGAGCTTCTGCTTGTGGCTCATATGGAAGGAAGCAGTGATTCTTCTACCAGGCGTTAGCGCATGCTCACTATAGACAATTCACGCCGTTGTAGCCAAAAAATACGCGTTTCAATGTGCGATCGATGTGCTTCGATGTACTCAATGTATCAACTATTTCGGTGTACTTTTCGCACACATGCTCTCTCGCGCGCGCCTCATTGCACTTGGCAGCACGTTGCACTTTCCGTAGCTCGTGAAGGCGGAAGCCTGCTGCGCACTTGGTCATAAACTAGGTTATTCAATCTGGAACCAGACTTCTCGAAAAAGTTCAAGAGCCGCAGTGTCAGAGACACGCGTGGAATCATCTCAACGTTCTCGGTTCGTTGCAGTGCTCCTGCACTACTCCCGTACACCTCACTGGCTAGGGCACTGCGTCCGAGATGGGCCCACTTTTCACTGAGCAGCCATGCCACGACGTCGTCGTGGGGAGTCATTTGATGACGTACGCATGGTTCGTAACCTATCACGTAACTATGACGTCACGTGACAACACGTCGTCATAGAGTAGACGAAAAATATTTGAACAGCTGGTATTGACTGGAAACAAAGTTTCGAGAAACGGTCTTGCCTTCTGCAAGGCTGAAGCTGGCTTCTCATATTAGTTTATTCGGTAATAGTCAAAATAATTTTGGTGGCTTTGACGTCCCGAAAGCATGATGTGATTGTGAGGGACGACGTCTTGGAGGGCTCCGGATTTTTCGACCATCTGTGGCTCCTTTAACGCGCTCCTAAATCTAAGCACACGGGCCTCAAGCACTATCGCTTTCATCGAAAATGCGGTTGCCATGACCGGGATTCGATCCCGCGAGCTTCGACTCGGCATTCGAGTGCCATAACCAATACACCGCCGTGGTGGGCTTTCGGTAATTGTTTGAAAAGAGAATGCACGGGACCTGGCTACTTCACGCAATGTCGACTCCCGCTTTGCGTGTCTGCTTAACGCTTTTGTTCAAGTGCGCTTTTTATGCATTTAATTTTCTACATTTCTTACAGCACATATTCTCACTGTTGCAAGACAAGCGTCTTTCGGGATGGAATTGCTGAAGAAATACGTTATTTGAAAAATAAATACTGGGAAATTATTCACGTTATGATTCCGTTCCATTTGTTTCTTTTATTACACCTACAAAGCCGAAGAATTGAATAGAGGTGTGGTAAGAAACAGTAATATAATAAAAGTAAACAAAAATATTGAACTACAAAAATAGGTCAACCAAAATCAATTAATTACTAATATTTAACACTGTCCGAAAAACATTGATGATTAGTAATGTCTGCTGTGAGAGCAGCGAGGTGGCTCCAATCCTCGTAAGACCTAGGAAAAAATGAATTATGGAAAGCTGAAGTCCTGGAAAAGGGAACTGCAACCTCATGTCGCTAATCGATGCGTGACGTCACATACTGAGGAGGTGAGATAAAGCCATTGTTCTATGAGCGGTGATGAAATCAGCCATAAAAGAGACAGCTTACGGCGCAGTGATAACGAGGGTAGTTCAAGCTTCATGGTATACAACACTTGCGGTTCGCGCATAGTTGGGCATAATGAAGCGTGTTGAATTGCTCTGAATGATTTCAAGTGAGTAAATGAGGTTATCATAGAGGGAGTCCCAAACTGAGGCGGCGTATTCGAGCTTTGAGCGAGTTAGTGTTTTATACAATGAAAGTGTGACAGTTGGAGGAGCACGGAAATATATCTTCTAAGGTAACCAAGTGTCTTGTTAGCGTCATGAATTACGGTTTCAGTGTGTCCACTCCACGTTAGCGCCGACTACATTTATTACTACTATTTGTGTACCTTCATCTCTTTCTGCTGTCTCGTTCATCCTTTATTTACCTGGTGTGTCACCAAAATGGCTATGTAGCGCATTCAGCGAAGTCATCATGGTCAAAAAAAAAAGAAAGAAAACACGAGAAAGCATGCACTATAGCTTTGCAGAAGCACACACCAGCATGCACGTTCCTTACAGCGTTATCAAAATCAATTGCCTTAAGAGGTTCATTACCCTATAGTCTCTCCACAACCGAAGCTTCTAAAATTATTATGAGCCCCTGGCCATTGCGAATTTGAATTAAATGAAATGACTTGCCCACTAGCACCAGCGGCATTGATTGGTCCAATAATTTTGGTTCTAGTGGACAATATAACCGCAGCAAGATACAAAAGCTTTCGCTTCGTGCAGATGCCATGTAATCAGTAACATTATGGACAGAAACAGTCATACAATATTTACGTGGAAAATGTAGTGGTATCATACTATACGATTGGAAGTTGTAAAAATCAGATTATAATGTCGCGTTTTTCCGTTGACTTATATTCGTACAGGGATGGTCTAGCCATATCACCCCCATGCAACTTTTGTTCATAAACGGAAAGGATACAGCACTATTTTTGTCTTGTCGCCGGTACAGAGAAAAAGACTTGCTACCAACTTATCCGCTAACCTTCCTCTGAACTTCACAACTTTCCTGCGGTGCTGCGTGTCTAGGCTTCAGCCACAAGAAAGCTTTTCGTGCCGTTCGTATACAGTTACCTTCAGTAAAAGAAACGAATGCGACTTTAAGTATTTGCTTGTTTCTGTAGTATGCAGAAATGGATGGAAAGCAAAAAGCTTTTCTTCTTCCTTTTATTTTTTTCTTTAACTTTCACTTTAATTTACGGTCGAGAAAAATATTAGTGCCTTATCCGAATGGGTGAAAAACAATTATTGCGCTGTTTCTAGTGTACATACGTTGTACTTTGGTTGCCGAAATTCTGCAGCCGAAAAATCATGTAATCGGCGTTTGGCCAGTCCCCTTGCAGAGCGGGTATATATGAGCCTTGTTAGAGGCAATCAGCAGCACTGCCATCGTCGCCGCCCTCGTGCCGCACGAGACGAAGCTGACTGTGCTCGGCCAGAAGAAGCCGCCATGCTCGCCCGAGCCCGCGAGTCCCGCTCCAGCGCAGAACACGCCATCGAAGAGGCGCCCGTTCCTCGACGAGTTCGCACTAAGCCCGAGTGTCGCTCGGCCACCCGGGGCCACGGTGCTGCGGCGGCCGCCGAAAGCGTTCGCGCCACGACCGACGTGCAGCGGCCCGAGGTGGTCGCGGCGGCGTCTGACGTCGGCCCCGTGTCGCCGGCCGCGGGTCTCCTGCTGGTGCCGGGCTCGCAGCGTTGGGAGGGTCTCCGCTACCTCGTCTACTGGGGCCTCGCCTCGGGCCTGCTGGTGCTCGTGCTAGGCCTGGTGGGCTTCATAAGCCTGCCCTCGGTGCGATGGGCGCCCTGGGAGTGGGGCTTCGGAGGCGCTGCCGCCGGATCGGCGTCCGACGCCGGCGAAGACCCCGCGGCCAGACCGTTGGCGCAGCCGGCGCACAGGGCGCCTCCGAGGAGGCTCAAGCTGCAGGACGCGCCGACGGTACGCCGATCTCGGGAGTTCGCCACGTTTCGGGCACAAGTTTGGGCACGGAGGAGCGGGTGGGAAGACGAATGCCATAAGGGAGTCGACGTCGTTTAAGCGCGTCCATGAAATACTCATAGCGATAGTTGGCCTGTTCTATTTCTCGCGGCTGCTTATTGTGAACCTACTCTGTTGATTTGTTGTGTGGGGTTCAACGTCCCAAAACCACCATATGATTATGAGAGACGCCGTAGTGCAGGGCTCTGGAAATTTCGACCACCTGCGGTTCTTTAACGTGCACGCAAATTTGAGCACACGGGCCTACATTTCCGCCTCCATCGGAAATGCAGCCGCCGCAGCCGGGATTAGATCCCGCAACTTGTGGATCAGCAGCCGAGTACCTTAGCCTCTAGACCACCGCGGCGGGGCGAGCCTACTCTGTTATTATTATTATTATTATTATTATTATTATTATTATTATTATTATTATTATTATTATTATTATTATTATTATTATTATTTGATTGATTGATTGATTGGAGAAGAAACCACCAATTCGGGTGTTGGTATGAACAGGGCGTGTACAAAAGAAACGGGTAAGCTATTGGGCGGAGAATACATGACCTCATGATCCAAGGCGCTTCCTAGTGGTAATTCATTAATCATGACTGCTCGTCGGAGCGGGATCGCGTGTCGCAAGCAGGGAAACGCGCAGAATCGGCGATCCGTGCGTCCATACGTTTGCCATTCCACTTTCGAACAATGATCGCGGGGCAATGACGACGATGACAGCGATGTGCTCACTTTGCCGCGACACACCCTGAGACCTGCGGCTTCGTCGTCAGGGCGGTGGAGCGGAGGGCGCTGCGTCGCCGGCGTGTTCGACCCCCGCGTGCGCCGAGCAGGCGTCTCGCATCCAGGCCGAGCTGGAGTACTCGGTGGACCCGTGCGTGGACTTCTACCACTTCGTGTGCTCTCGCTGGATCCAGCGGCACCCTGGCGGAGGCTCGGTCGACCTGCTCCAGCTGGAGTCCTACACCAGCCGCCTGGCCGACCTGCTCGAGAGGCCCTCGGAGCTATTGCCCGAGATGCAGCACTTCTTCGAAAACTGCCTCCGGCCGCAGGAGAACCTGTTCTCCGAGATCCGCGCCACTTTCTTCTACCTGCTCGGATTCCAGGTGCAGTAGTGGAATACTCTAGACATATGCACATACTCGGGAAGGTATCAATGAGGCAGCAGCGAGGATGACTCGGCACATTCTAATACTTAATCCTTCTGGAGTTGCTGTGGTCCGAAGCCTATGGGGTTACCAACTGGTCAGCAGTGGACAAAAGCAAGATACCTTTGCAGCATTGGTGTTTTTTTAAACATTTGGAAGACATAAAGCCGAAGTCTGTATACAGTTACATAGGTACAATATAACTTTAGTTTTTCTACCGTCGTGCCTTAGTAATTGTAAATAAGTGTGATAGCTTCGCCGATTATTCCCGTACGCCTAATATAAACTTAGTCATTTAATACTTGAACCTAAAAGGCGTTGAAGCAGTTTCTATTGCCTCTAGACAAGTGAATACTGAAATTCTTCACCTGGAGATTTGTGCACTGCCATTTACTTTTTATTTGGGATTGACGTACGTCGTTCCATTCCCACTCTTGGAATAGCCTCAGCGGGGTTTTATCATACAAAAAGTAATAAATAATGAAAGAAAACGTTGATATTAGTGAACTTGTATATAGCGGTAGATGTAAACACACGTCTTTCACGGTCCGCTTCGAATGGTCGGCTGACAGAGATCATCAACAGCTCGTGAAAAGCGATCACTCGAATGTATCGCATGTGATAGGATAATCGCTATAGTTCAAATGGCGAATGGCTGCATGGGACAAGGAATTGAAAGAACTAAAGAAATGCGCTACCACCTCTCATACAATCATCGGCGCTGTGTTGACCGACAGCTTTTTGAATGCGCTGTCAAGTCAGCCTATACGAGGCGCAAAACACTAGCTTATAAAGCGTCACTGGTGAATGGACCGTCGTTGCGACAGGAGTGGCCGTACCTGAGCTCCGCAGCGTCGTTCATTGCACCGGACGAGGTGTCCTCCAAGATCGGCGCCGTGTTTCGCGAGTTAGGCGTCGAGTCACTCTTCCGGTTCACGGTGGCGCCCGACCCGGACAAGCCGCGGCTCCGCTACTGGGCGCTGGACGAGCCCCGGCTGCTGTCGACCGGAGGAGAGGACGGCGCCTGGATGGACGCCGCCTTCAAGGCAAGCCTTAACGCCGAGGTCCATACTGCTGGAGCGTCGAGAATGATCGCGTGACCGGATTCCGCCTTCTCGTGTTGGCTCTGACACGGCTTAGATGGCCGAGTTCGTGTGCGCTGTATCAGTACGAGCAAAGGACCTCATTTTTCTTGTTCTGTTAGGCAGTTCCTATTTATTCTACGGCCAGTTTATTTATTTATTTTTACAAATGCGTCACAGGCTTTCATTTGAAGTATCATGTGAGGGGGACTATACAGATGTTTTTTTTTATCAAGAAACACGGAACAAAGTTAATTCACAAGCCAAGTATACAATCGCTAAATATGAGTTGCTCAAGTTGCTAGACGTTTCCTTAATTATGTTTGAATGCTGAGTCGATGTTTATAACACTTAGTGGCCGTGCCCTTACCTTCGTGCTGGGCCAATATTCCAGGCGTATGTCGCTCGTTCTGGACTGCAAATATTGTGTATCTGAAATCTACCACGCGCTGCACAAGTCACGGCCTTATAAATCGTGATTTCCATAAACTGCAAATGCTTATAATGATCGTATAAATTGTTCTTTTTGGCATGATAATGATGGATATAAAAGGACGCAAACAAGCAGAAGAGAAACTTAGAGTGAGTTGACGCTGGCTGTCCAGTGTTTTTGAGCAGGTGATGTTTCCTGTTATTTGCTATACCGTTTGTCAAAACACTCGAACCAGCTAGACCGCTTTTATGACCTTGCTAAAGAGGCGTATGATAGACTGGTACCGCAGTGTGCAAAGGCCTGTCCTTCGGTGTATATGTGGTCGGGATGAAAAAGACAACGGGCGATATCACACCACAGAAATCGCGCTGGCCAACCTCTGAGGCACTTCACGCAAGTCGGAACAGTCGTTTCCCATTCGAAGTGGCTGCTTACTTTCTGCAGCTTCTTTTTTGGGTGAACTGTGGAAGTGTTATCAGATTTTTTTCGTGCACCTCTTATCCGATTCTCTACTGCTTGAGTTATCGACAAGTCTTTTTTATGTGGTCCGTGCAAAGTGCGTGGCTAGTTCCCTTGTCGACAGCGACGGAAGGCGTTCTTAAAGACAGCTTCCCACTTAATGAGCTCGTCCTGGTCAAACTGAAGGCGCTGCTGGATTTCTACGGCAAGTTCTCGGACACCAACGTGTCTCGGCTGGAGCACGAGCTGAGCTCGCTGATGGAGCGACCCGAGCTCGACCCCCTGGCGCTGTCTCGGTGCAAGACCATGGCGCTGGTCGACCTGCCGTCTATTGACTACCTGCGATGGGCGCCCATGCTGCGCAGCGCATTCGGCACCGAAGACATCTTCCCACAGGTGGCCTACGCGCGCGCGCACACGAGCACTTTTTTTTATATTTCTGTGACCACTGTTAAAGCTATGCTTCTTAAGCGCGGAGCGCTTTGTGAGCTCAGGCTGTCGTGTGCCATAGTCGTCTCACGTCGCTTCGCATAACGCAGGCACAACCATGCATAGTGCAGTCATGTTTAGCAAAGGGGCGAGGAGGATGGGAAGAGTGGGGGTCGTAGTTTGTATTGCATTAGGCCGGCAAAATCATGTATGCCATAGCCGTGTTAAGCAAGGGGTCGGGAAGTGAAGGTGAAAAATACGAAGGGGCAGGATAATGCGCAGCGTCGCTCAGACGAAATCATCTGTAGCATAGCCTTGTATAGAAGGGGAGAGCACAGAAGTCTCATGTGTGGTGTTAAAAAAAAATGCGAACTGTGTGAAAGTTGGCTTCTCCTTTGAGTTTGTCAGCTAGTGGCGAAGACAGCTTTAAGAACTAATTCCGTTGATCTTCATTTTATAACGCAGATTTTTTCGTGATTACGTCAGGCGTCGCTATTTTACGAATCGCCTGCCTGCTCAGTTTGTATGCCAATTGCATTTTTGAGGTACGAGTGTTCAGTCTATTCGGGGTGCAAGATGATGGTTTGCGAAGTGCACCTAAAGGAGCCATGACACCGAATTTTCGATCATATGTGTTACGTGGGTTAATCCTAGGGTGTTGACAAACAAGCTGGAAAAATTTTGGTGCATTTGGTCCAGCGCCTAATGATTGAACGATTGAACCATTTTATAAACACCCGGGCTGCCTGTGAGTCTGGCTTCACTGTGCACTCTCGAGCAGTGACGCAACAACCGACTAACAGTGCGAGTGTTTATATTTCAGAGAACGATATTGGTCAGCTGCGCGTGAAATCGAGATAACTTGGCTTTTCCCAGCTTGACACCGTAATTCAATGATTTCCAGCGGCTAAACTAAGAAAGACTACAGCTTCGCTCCTTCCAGCTCATGACGTCACACGCGCCATGGCAAAATGGTGGTGGCTGATAGTGGGCGGAGTTTATGGTCGGTGACTTCATGACTTGTTCTGCACTGAAATATTTTTACGGTGCACTTTCCATATCTTTATGGACATAATAGACCCTCTACTTCTTGTTTTGGCTGAAAACCATGAATAGTAGGGTAACCGTGTCATGGCCCCTTAAAAGTGACGCAGAGTTGGGAATCTCACGCACACGAAGAAATACTCATCGTGTACAAGGTGTGTCCAATGTTGCCCTAGTGTGACAAATCTGGCACTGTAGACACAGTCGCGTTCAGCATGACATAAAACACTGGAGCAAGTGGCTTCAACATGCTCTCATTTCAAGACCTAAGTGATTAATCCTAGGGTTAATTATCATCAAACGAGGGATTAGTTGTCGGTTGAAGTCATGCGCAGTCTTTGAACTCGTGAAGCCGCGCGCTCCCTTGTTTCGAGTAACATTGAGCGCGACTGTACGTTTTCGCAGTGTGAGAGGCCGATTCCGCCAAGTTGTTCGCTTTTCTACTTACGTCTTTGTGTTATCAGCTAGCCAGATTCGTCAGTTAGCTTGTCTTAAGAACGATCCTAAAGGGAGGCGTAACTGTAAATACAGGCTACGATACTCAGTTTAAAGAAAAATTTTATTTATTATGTCCGACTTTCAACCGCAGTAAGTGTAACAGAGGCACGAAATAACCGAAGCTCGCCAACGTTGGTTCGACACCGGGGCCATTCAGTGCGCGAAACATTTTCGAAGTGTATCAATGAAACATACTTGGCGGAAGCTACGCGGGACGCGTATGAACTTACTTTATCACTATGCCGCAGCAGTGGCGATAATATACGGCCACTTGCATAGTTTTTCTTGCTACATTTGGTTAAAGGGCGCGTCGTTTCGTGGGTTTTCTTATTTGTTCAGGTTGCGTTGCGCCGTCGTCATTTAGTGTGTAGCATGTTTTCCGTGTTCGACGCATGGCTAGGAATGCGCGCCCGGTAAGCCTTCGGTTCGCAGTAGCCGAACCTCACGTCGGGCCCGAGTTGTAAATGTTTATTGCCAACTTGGACGCATTGCGGAATGAATGCGTGCTGCTTGTCTTTACGACGAGCGGCAATGGAACTCGCAGGATCACCAAATACGAGGTTGCGCTACGGCAAAAGTTTTTTTTCTCTTTCCGACGCTATTTGCTTGGTTCTTTTTCTGCGCAAATATGTTTGTGCAACGGAGACGGAAAGAAAATATGTCTGTATGGATTGCAAGTCGATTGGGCGCAGCCAGTTTTGCTACTGATTTAAAATATTGACAATAAACGCGTGCTTTATAGGATTGATGTCTCTATTAAATGAGTGAAAGACCTCTGCAGCGACAAGGAAATTACGAACGATATCGAATGACGTCGGGAAGTTAGGTTGAGCGATGACGAAGCTTTCAAAGCCATTAGATATGGGCGTACGTAAACGGCCAGTAATTCGAGTTTTTGGACATGGTTTGACCTGTGGTAAGCGTGTAGGTTGTGAGGAGTTTCATACGAAATAAACCCTCTATTAGTTAATTTTAACGTACAAGCAGCTTACGCGTGCTCATTCTGTAGGAAGGTAGGGGATCGAAAAAAAAAAGGTGCCTGAATATTTTGCAGTGCCCCTTAACCACCAAACGCCGTGGACAGAAATTGACAAATTGCTAGCAGAAATGACGCATCTACGAGCCCTTAGAGACAACAGCTTGTAATTGAATGTGAAACACAATAAAATAGGTGCCAATTTTCTTTAGTTCATTTAACCGCACCAAGTTTGTGATAAACAATCAAAGTAGATTAGACCATGAAGTATACAATGCAGTTTGTCGTCTCACATCGCATCATGGTGAGCGACCTTTCGAAAATAAAGGCAGATGAAGGAAAAAAATACACCCATGATTCCGATGCAGCCTAATGTGAATTCTGAGTGCAGGATCGTGTTGGGTCAACTGCGCTTGAACTTCTGGCTTCCCGCAAATGTGTATCTTTTAGTCAACAGTGGCTGCGCTATTTTCTTCGGTCATGCTGGCGATTGCAGGATATTGATGCAGGAGTGGACCAATCACGTGCGGGGAACTGTTCTGAGTAACAGAGAAAGTAAAAGCACCTAAAATAAAACGGGAGTTGCAAGGGACACACACACAAGTGATTGCGCCCCCAAAGTCCCGTGTACTTCTTTGTGGTTTTGCTCTATTGTTGGAATATCAACAAGCCCTCTCAAGAGTAATGCCTCTAAAGGTATAATGCTGCGCTAATATAGTCTTACTGTAACGACGCAAGTCCTTCTACTTCGTTGTGGAAACCGTATTGAGTCACGCTACGACCCGATCTTTCGATAACGTACGTTGTTAAAAGCTAGCCTTGCGAATAGAGGTCTACACACAGTCTAGAGCTCTATTTCTGTTATCACGTTGACCTCGTGTCTCGCTTGAGCGCAGTGAAAACACAAGAGCGCACTGCAGTGCGCTCTTGTGTTTTCTCTACACTCTAGCGCCAATATTAAATCAAACTTGGTTTATATAAATGATTACTGTGCGATTTTGGATTTCTTAAAGCTAGGAGACCTTTCAAACTAGGAGGCACTGTGTGACATAGAAAGAGATTATTCCCTTTGAGAGCGGATGAATATTGACGAGGCCCTGGCATTAGAAACAAGCATGACTTCTTTATTATTGAAGACCATGCTACACGCCATTCAAATCGCGTGCATGTGGACGCGACCGCTGGCGTCGTCTCAGGACCTGATCAAGCTGGCGTGCCCCGGCTACGTCCTGGGTCTGTTCAACCGAGGCTCCCTGCCACGCGTCACCGACCTGCTCAACTATGTGCTGTTCCGCATTGTGGCTGCGCTGAGCCCGTTCATGGCCAACGCCACACTGCGCGATGCCATGTCTCGCGCCTACGCCACGCCGGGCTCGGGGCCGCTCACGCCCCGGCAGCTGTGCGTGCGCCTGCTCGACAGATTCGAGCCTGCGGTGCCGATGTATCTGGCGGCCAACATGTCGCTCGCCTACCTCGGCGCCGAGGGAGACGTCCAGGATCTACTCGAGGGACACCTGCAGGCACGTCGTGCAAGTCTTTTCCGTGATGATGGCATTTCGACCCGTTGCACCTTCGTAGCTTGGTTTATTTCGTACAGATGGCGCGTACGTGTTTAAATTCATTAGTGGGCATGGAGGCGTCTATAGCGAGTCTTTCTAGCAGGTGGACACAACTTGGAGTCCAGATCCGTCGTGAAAGTGGCGTGGATTCTTCACTTACGCCATACCACTGATCTTACGTCTTCATTTGCAACGTCACTGACTCTGGCCCTTTGAGCCCGAAGTACCTGGTTAGCTGTTACTGCAGGAACACCTTTCACATGCACATTTCCTCTGAGGAACAGAAAGTCTGCCCTGGCGAGGAGGTCGATAGTTCCTCTGAAGCTGCATACGAGTTTGTACAGCAACGTACGCGCCATCCACGTGTAGTTCTCTGCGCTGTAGCGTCACATGTCCTGAACGAAGGTCAGACAAGAAATCGGGCATTAAGTAAAGACAGAGTCGATTAAGCTTCCTGGGTGTTCTTATCAATGTCATAGGTGGTCTTCGAGAAGTACGTGGACGAATTCTTCAAGTCCACTGGCGACTTCCGGACGTCGGCGCTGCAGACGCTGCGCGACATGGGCTGGGACCTAGTGCGGCCGTCGGCCATCGAGGACGAGGCGTTCAGGCGCCAGTACCTGGACGGCCTGTACACCAACATGCCCATGTCGCCGCTAGCCTACTTCTACTACTTCTGGCTCAAGAAGTCTGTGTCCCGCCAGCGCCGAAGCTTCGGCACGTCGGCGGCCGCAGCAGCCGTCGATCAGTTGCGGACGGGCTGGACGGGCGGCTTCCTGTCCGCCTACCCTCGACTGGCGCCGCCCTTCCGTCGGCTCGAGATCCCGCTGCCGGTCTTCAACATGGCGCTGGGCGACGACCCCTCGGTGCGGCACCTGCAGATACCGCGCGTGGCGCCGCGCGTCTACGCCGCCCTGCTGCGCTTTCTCTACCACAGCGCGCTCAACGCCAACGGCAACAGCAACCTGACCGAGGCGACCGAGGACGCGGCCGCCATGTTCCAGCGGGTGCGCGTCTGCGTCGAAGAGCAGTACGCGCCGCTCAGGTCTTCCTCGGCTGGCGAAACGGACGCGGCGACTTCTTCGTCGTCGGTGCAGGACATGCTTGACGTCCTGTCCGTTGTTCCGGCGTTCGAGGCGTACCGCGCGTACCTGACCGCCGACTTTCGGCTGCAGACGGCGGCCGATCTCAACAGTCGGCAGCTGTTCTTCGTCTACTACGCAGCGTCGCACTGCGCTGACGAGGCACCGCGACGAGGTCGCAGTCCGGCCAGGCTCCGCGTCAACGGGCCGCTGCGAAACATGCCTGAATTCGCGGACGCCTTCAAGTGCCCCGTCGGTTCGTTCATGAACCCGACCAAGGTGTGCGCCCTGTGACGACACCTTCCTTGGGGCGTTCAGCTTTTCTTTTGTTGTTTCGTTATTTGTATCGACGAGTGTCTACGTGAAAATGTCGTGCATTAGGACACCGTGTTCTCGGAAGACTGAATGTTTGTTTTCCCTTTTTCGTGTAATATGTTTTGCATATATATATGCACTATCGTTTGAAAACGACTGTTCGGAGTTCGTTTGAAATGAAACCTCGAAATCCGTGCGTTGCCTCGTTTATGCGGGAAGTAGAAGACGGAAGCTGGACTTGTTTCGGTTCCGTCCATGCTTCCGCCTTCGGTAAACTATCGCGCTTCCTTTAGTAGGGATTCCGGAAATTGCTTTCCTCCCGCGTTCCTGCTGAGGGAACCCAGCTAAATGAACTGCGCCATCTCCTTCGTTTGTGTTTTCATGAAAAATAGTTCGGTGGTTTGCTTTTATGCGAGTGACGTGCTACGCGAAAGGCGGTTTTTATTACGATAGAGTGCTCCTAACTGGTTGATTAGCAGAGACGCGTTAATTTCCTTTATCTTGTTAAGGCGAATGGACAGCCGACTCTTCGCCTGTCTGTGTGTAGTCGGGCGTGCTGTGTATTATGTGGCGCGCACTGTCGTTTGCTGTTTCCGTTTGAGGAGTGACCACTGTTTTTATGCAAGTTTTCTTGAATGTTGGTTACATAAAGCGATAGTATTTTTCTATACTCGTGATTGTGTGAAGGCTTGTTTTCTATAGACACTCATCATATCAGTAGGTAATAAGAAATTTTCACGCTGGTTTGGTTTACTTCGCTGTACTGAAATGTCGTGGGTGTGTGCTAGATTGCTAATACATAATGATACCCTCCAGAATCATGCGCGCGTGCGCCGTACGAAGAAAGTAGGTTCTCGCTCTCTGCTTGGGCTTAACCGGTCAGCCCAGAGATAAGCAGAGAGCGAGATCTTCCTTCGCTATGCTACCAATGCCACTATGCTACCATGCTACCAATATGGATGCATGCAGCCGTTGCCAGTTTCAATTGTCGGTGACATCGTGCTGCAGTGGTGAACCGATTGGCGAAGTGCATCGCCTTCTCAGCTACTTCACCGCAGGTGCACCGGCTGAACTATTGCACTCGTGAGAACTTGACAACTCTTTCACGAAGGCATGGCAAATACGCAAAGCAAGCCAACGTCACATTATTGTTGCTCACGCTGATGCTCGGCTGAGAAATGCAATCGCGTCTCTGCAAGGCCCGTTGTGTTGACGCTATAGCGTTAGATCTCCTTTCGGCGAAATTCCAGCGTCGTTGGTTGTGAGCCGACATCTTCGAAACCAGGCCGTGTGCGAGACAAGCACTTGTTCTACCACAGAGCCAAGGTAAAAGCACTCGCAAATGAATGCCATGTAGTCGAAGCATCGAATCTTCCTAACGCATCGTATATTGCGCGTCAAAAGCGTGTAATCGCGCCAGTCGTGAAGACATGTGAATGTAGTAGCTAAAGGCCCACCCATAACAACGCGCCCAGGCATTTATTTATCAGCAGCAGAACTGAACAGCTGCGTAGGTTCGTGTGAAGAGCCCACTACGCTACCGTATACGAACGCGTAGTTGCCCTTTAACAACTGTGCTTCCCGCAGTGAATGATTCTTTGAAACGGCCAACGTTACGCGCGCAGTCGTTCGTTTCCTTACGACGCGGCTTAGACCGGAGCACTCCACGAGGCCCGACTACGCGCTATGCTCTTGAAGGCGAAGCTCGAGCGTCCTCTGTTCTTTACTAGTGTTTCGCGCATTCGCTGACGCACGCGAGCGTCGGAAAGTGCGCCTATGGTCGCAATTTGCTGGCAGCGGAATGCTAGAGGCTCCTCTGCTGGGCGAACCCCAGGTGGTCGAAATTTCCGGAGCCCTCCATTACGGCGTCTGTCAATCATGTCGTGGTTTTGAAACACCAGATACCATTGTCACTAATAAGAGGGTGTGTGCCACAACTGAGTGGCGATTCATTCAACCCAGGCTTTGGTGATCGTAAAGTGCTAGCGTGAAGAAACGCCGTAATAGAACCCACTCATTCTGATGATTGATATGTGGGGTTTGACGTTTCGAAACCACCATATGGTTATGAGAGACGCCGTTGTGGAGGGCTACAGAAATTTCGACCACCTGGGGTTCTTTAACGTGCACCCAAATCTGAGCAGGCCCACTCATTCTGCACAGCAGTTAAGCACCAGAGGGAGCAGCGTTGCTCGCACTCAGTTTTCTATGTGCACACTAAAGGGAGCTCTGGTGTTAGTGTCTTGGGATCTGCAATGGATGGCATTTCAGCGAGCATGGGAATTATGTGTAGTGCATGGATTTGCCTAGTGTTCATACTTCACGTTCCTTTTGGCTTCCCGTGGCTTGAAGCTGCTTTGTCACAAAACAACAATCAACAAATGTTCGGCAGTTAGGCTTCACCACCTCCACCTTTCTAGGGTGACCACTTCAAACCAGCTCACAAAGTTCAAAAGGGTTTCTTCGTTCGAAACGAAACAGAAATGCAGCAATAAACGACCCACAATTGCGATTTGAGGCCGACAAGTACGAAGACTAGGCAAATCCATGTACTACCCATTATTCCCATGATCGCTGAACAATCGCAGCGCCAGAGTCCCCTCTAGTTAATTTTGGCAAACTCTATGCTCGCACTTGAAATTTGCTGATGGGTCGTTGGGGGGCACGCAAAATACAGACGTCCGCACGCGTTCCACCTAGAGCCCGGATGCAGCAAGGGAGACGGGCTCTTCGCGTTCCATTTTTACCGACACCATTACAATATTGCCTTTTTATTATGTAAGGTTGTACGTTTTGCGTTGCAGTCACACTGAAAAACGCGACTGCACAGAGCAACGCCAGTGCTTCAAGCGACTATCGAGAAAGAAGACCAGGTGTGGATCCACCCACTCGTTTTAGTGTGGAAATCGCGAAAGGAGCGAGGGGGGCAATTGAAATAAATCTGGAGAGGGGCGTGCGGTCTTGCATCTTGTTTTTAGGGGCGAAGCTCCTTAAAGCGCGGGTCTGTCCATCCCTTGTATGTACGTATGTATGTACGTATGTATGTACGTATGTATGTATGTATGTATGTAATGTATGTATGTAATGTATGTATGTATGCATGCATGCATGTATGTATGTATGTATGTATGTATGTATGTATGTATGTATGTATGTATGTATGTATGTAGCCACCGATGGCACATACCCTCTCTAGAGCGTGTATATTGCCACATGGTTTGCTTGGGTGTGAGCGAAGTGTGAAAGAAAAAAAAGACGATCTCTCTGAGCTGCTGCTTGAGTAGTCGACTAAACGAGCCCATTTTTTATCAAGTTTGTCGAGAGTAACGTGACAAGACTGGTGGAGTTGCTGGGTACAACGTCTCGCAATCCACCCGATGCCCAAGACCCCGTCCAGCAGCCGGAACACAAGCCCTGCACCCGTGGACACTCCTGTTCATAGAGTAAGCCGCCGCCAACGAGGCCTACCGCCCGAGACACCAACCACTGACGCAGCGACTATGACTTCAACACAAGATCCCATGCAAGCTCCGACACCTTCCACGCCGATCTACTGCACCGTCCAGAACCCGCTCATGCCTAGCCCCTTTCACGGAGCGCAGCATGAAGATGTTGACGACTGGCTGAGTGAGTTCGAACGTGTCGCAGCGATTAATTACTGGGATGATGCCGCGAAGCTCCGGAACGTGTACACGTGCCTAAAAGACGGTGCCAAGACGTGGTTTTTGAACAGGGATGATGTTCTGACATCTTGGCGCGAGTTCCAGCGTCGCCTCCTGGAGACCTACAGGAGTCCCGACCGCCGCGAACGGGCGGAGCGTGCACTTCAATCACGCATCCAGATGCCCAACGAGACCGTCTCGATGTACGTCGAGGACATGACACGGCTTTTTAAGCGAGCGGATCCTGCTATGGCAGAAGAAAAAAAGTTGCGCCACCTCATGCGTGGTGTGAAGGAACAACTTTTTGCTGGTTTGGTGCGTAGTCCCCCCAAAAGTGTTGCTGAGTTCTTTACTGAAGCGGCAACAATGGAGCGAGTACTGCACCAACGGTCTGCCCAGTTTGACCGTCAAGTGAATGCTGCCTCAACTCCCGAGATTTTCGCCACCCCTGGGAGCAAGAGCCCCGAATGGATTCGCGAGATCATTCGATCTGTCGTCCGGGAAGAAATGGAAAAGATGTACGAGACAAGGCAAATCGATGTTGGTTCTATCACCAGTGTCATCCGCGACGAGGTCCAGCAGGTGCTGCACGCCCATCGTTTTCCGCCCACGTCGGTTGATCTGGAAACGGCTCCTGTGTCTACTGACAGTCGCCGTCGTACGTACGCGGAAGCCTTGCGATCTGCCACTCCTCTTTCGGGTCAAGGAGTCCCGATCCAGCCAGTGCCGCACGTCCCGATCCAGACAGTGCCGCACGTCCCGATCCAGACAATGCCATACGTCCCGATCCAGACAATGATGCCGTCAGTCGCGATTCAGTCAGCGCACGCTGATTTGGACATCGATAGTCGCCGTACACCGACGCGCAAGTCTGATCTCTGGCGTACGCTATCTCTGGCGTACCCCTCTGCTATCATTGCGGTGAGGCTGGTCACATTTACCGCGAATGCCCATACCGGCAACTTGGACTGCGCGGATTTTCCGTCAATTCCCCTCGTCCCCGAATTGGTCAAAGGCCAAGGGATATCGAAGAATATCTCGCGCAACAGCGTGCACCCTTTACACGACGGCAATCGCGGTCACCATCTCCGAGGAGACCCGCAGCCACTGGGCCACGTTTTGGGGTGACGGCACGGGAACGCTCCCCGAGCCCTCGTCGGGAAAACTGAAGGCAGCGGCCTTCGGGGGCAAGGTCGCTGGGACTCAAAGTGCGGAAGACCTCCCATCGATGCTTGCACGCAACGCCGAAGGCATTTCGTCAGAGAATAATCGCAGTGCCGAAGAAACGCCGACATCCGCATCTGAACTTAGTGACCG